GTTCCATTATAAAGTTTTTTTTTGCGATTCTAGTGGAATTTATGCAAATAACTACACATTTCTCCGTCCTAGCATATTTAGTTCATCATATAGACATGAGGGAAAAACATTTATTTCCTCCCGCCCCGCCCTCTGCCCCCTCCCTCCCCCCTCTCCTCCCGGGAGCTTTAATTTACTGAATTTTACAGTTCCCCAAATGGTCTTTTCAGTTTTCGGGGAACCGAACGGCATTGCAAGTTCGATTGAAATGGATCAATGAGCAATGTCCAAAATGGTCGAAAGAACCGTGGACAGCCATGGAAATAAACTGCTTGAGGGCGCATGGTTATTGGAACAACTGGAATGTCGTTGCGGAGAAGATGGGTACAAATCGTACGCCATTCCAATGTTTCGTCAAATTCAAAAGCGAAATTGAAATTGAACATAATGGACGGTATGTTTTTTTGGACTTAAATATATGCGCTTTTTTTTTCTAATTAATGCTGACTGACAAGGAAGGACGGTGAATTAGCTGGCCAAAGAGGCAAACAGTGGTGGGTATGAGCACGTAGATTGCCATCCCCCTAACTGTGCACCTTATACTGTCTGTGTTTGCAGCTCTTCGAACTTATTCGCGTACCTTTTCGAGTATTCATAAGCAAACTGACGGCGATTTTGACACCTTGGCATGCTGCACTGCTAATTTACCATCGAAATGAATGAACAAATCGCGTTCGGACTAGTTGTCCCCTTTTGAAAGAATGCCAAATTAATCATTAGTTCATCATTTATCAGGAACCAAATGAGCGCATAGATAACTGATAATATTGCAGTTGTAAATTTTTTCGACCGTACTGCTCTTCCTATTTTACCCCTGACTGTATTGGCCGATGTTTGCAGTCTTCCAGGCGGGCTGTTTATTATAGTTTTTTGTTGATGTGGTCCTCATAGGGCTTTACAGCCCGTACTGCCTTTCCTATTTTTATGTAGCTGTTTATTCACTGAATTTCAAAGAGCGATATTACCGGTAATTTTTCATCAAAATTGTTTTGGGGCTAAATTTTTTAACTGGTAAATTGCTGGATGATTTATTCCAGGCCATGGACGAAGGAAGAGGATGCGCATCTGATGGTGCTCACACACTGTATACAAGTTAATGGTAAAATGTTTTGGGGCAAAAGTATGTTTTTTACTTGCGTAAACATTAAAACTAAATACGGTCAATTAGAATGAAAAAATGGCGATAAAAAAGCTACTACCCAGCCTGTTTGTTACCTCACGTTTGCGAGCTTTTTACGAGATTTATTATTAGCAGAGCATCGCTGCAAGCAAAAAATAAATTTGATAGGCAGGACAATTTGATGGCCGAACTGAGAGTTGCTGGATGTTGCCTAGTAGCTGTACTCTCGGGATGGCATATCTCGAGATGGTATATCGGGGTCTGTTAAAAACATTCGTAATACATTTTCTTTGGCTGTTGGAAGCTTGTTATTTTATCCCGTGTGGTGGTACATGCTAAGGAGTAGTGCCTGCCCATCAAGGTCTTTTTGAGTATTTTTGAAACAAAGTGTTGGCGACTTCTTGGTTTGTGTTATGTGTGCTTTGTGTGTGTGTGTTTCTCTATGTGTCTGTGTGCGTGTGTGTGTATGTCTGCATGTGTGTGCGTGCGTGTGTGTATATGTATGTGTGTGCTTTTAGCAATATACCATCGAAACGCGCAAACGGTTTTTGTATTAGCCGATGCGTACGTTCATTTCAATTTTAAGTTGCCCATCACATGGACGAGAGATCACGGCAGCAATGTACTGCTCGATATAGGCGTGCACTGGATACCAGTATTAAATTTGGTCGCTGGGATGCGAGTGAGGATGTGGTAAGCAGATTTTTCCTCATTTTTAGAATGCACGAAATTTAAAAAAAGAGAGGGTTTGGCTCTCAAAAATTAAACGAATCAGCATAAAAATTACCAGCAAATTACCGCTAGCATTAATCAGAGGCCATGGCATGATGCATAATTAGACATTTTGATGGTAATTTATAAAATGATGAAGTATGGGTTCATCTCAAACCAAGTTGCTTTATGCAGCTGTTATAATTTGTGGCAGTCATGATGGCCAGTCTCCAATTCTTTTAGCTAGAAGCATCTGCCTGAAAAAACAGTGCCATTAGCGACAGAAACTTGTGGGGGAACTGTGCAAAAAATACATCTTCGCATCGGCAACAGTTGATGTGCTGCTGAATTATTTTTAAAATTTTGCAGCTCCTTACTTGTGCAGTAGGATGTTTTGGCACGAAAGACTGGATGAAAGTGGCATCACGTGTACCAGGAAGGAGCGATTCGCAATGTCGTGACAGGTCCCTAGAATTATTTTACAAAAATTTTTTCATTCTAAATCAGTTTTTTGATTCTCAGCTAGTTCTTTTCTAGAAAAAATTCAAACGACGATAAAATTTATGCATGAGTTTTAAAAATTCTACATTATTTTAGTTTCTTTTTGCCTGTTATTTTAGATGGGTGAATGTCTTGGACAGAAGTGTCAAAATTGAGCCATGGACTGTGGACGAAGATGAGAAATTGCTGGAAGGAATCAAAATTTTTGGAAGAGGTCCTGTTCTTTTTATGCGTTTAAAATAATTCGTTTGTGTCCTTTTCATAATATCAAACACCAATAATTTAATGCTGTTTAGCCCCCGTAGCGTTTATGATAATTGTGGAAATGCCCCGAATCGTTAAAAAATTTAATTCATACTTACCGATCATTGCTTTATTGATCTAGCTTGCATCGTAGTTAATCAAAATTTTTCTGAGAAAGACCAAAACTTAAGCGATTTTCAAAGGAAAAGTTGCGCACGTAAAGGAAAACACGAGGATATTCATTTCATGATTGTATTAGTATAGTGCTATATCTCTGCGCTGTTTAAATGTTTCCCAGCAAAATAAGATTTTTGTGGTGCTATTATAGGAGTAATAGAAAGTTAC